CTTAATACTCATAAAAAATCCCAACTTCCTAACTTTAAAAACACCAAAGTTATGACATTTCCAATCGTTCAGTTATATGTCAGCTATAGGATATAATCGGCCGATCCTTATGAAATTTGGTAGGTCGGATTGGCTGGCCAAATATAACACCCATAGAAAATCCCAACTTCCTAACTTTACAAACACCAAAGTTATGGCATTTCCGATCAATCAGTTATATGGCAGCTATAGGATATAGTCGGCCGATTCTTATGAAATTCGGCATGTCGGATTGATTAGCCAAATATAAAACCCATAGAAAATCCCAACATTCTAACTTTACAAACACCAAAGTTATGGCATTTCCGATCAATCAGTTATATGGCAGCTATAGGATATAGTCGGCCGATCCTTATGAAATTCGGCATGTCGGATTGATTAGCCAAATACAAAACCCATAGAAAATCCCAACTTCCTAACTTTACAAACACCAAAGTTATGGCATTTCCGATCGTTCAGTTATATGGCAGCTATAGGATATAGTCAACTCAGGAGGTGATCCTGATCAAGAATATATATACTTTATAGGGTCGGAGATGTCTCCTTCACTGCGTTGCACACTTTTGACCAAAATTATAATACCCTCTGCAAGGGTATAAAAAGTGAAAAAAAAGGCTTGTTCCCGCCGGAAAAAATAAGATATATGAGGGCGTGTGTATGGAGCCAGTTTGGGCGCCATTCCACGGGGATTCCCCCCACCGGATTCCAGGATAGGTGGGTGCATCTTGGGGCGCTGGCCTGTCGCAAATAGTGAAAATATTTACCAATAGCCGGCTGCCATACTGTCCATGCCGATACCCCATTTCTGAGTAAACCTCTTTCCCGGCGCCCGTTAACGAGTGGCCTTTGAGCGGCACGTTCGTGTTTAGACTCTTAACACATTTTTTGGTCCGCTCCGGGCCGTGGTCCTTGGTCCTTGGTCCTTACCCGGCTGAAGTGCAATCAGCGAAGGCAGACGAAACAAGAAAGTGAGGGGGCTTTGGTCCACTGACCGAACCTGGGATACCCAACACCTTGGCACAATATAAAGAAGAGAAGTACACGAAATGGAGTGTCTGAGGTCTAATCACTGCTCTGCGATTTTGCACTGTTAACTCAAAAAATTGTCCAAAATAATGCTTGTTCTATGCTAGACAAAAATATATTAAATAAAATGATTGCCAAGTTAGTTGGACTACAAAAGAGATTTTGGTCTTTAAAAACAACTAAGGAGCATAATATTATCTAAATAGTAGTCCTTTGGGATTTTAGCAGGTTTGTTTTTAAAACTGCTCTGGTTTTTATTTATAAACATCGCATATTTTTACCCTTGACCACAAAGTGTTTTATTAATTAAAATTGTAAACACTTCAGTTGTCTTTGAAACATAAAAGACTAAGAAAATGATTATTTTCATACATGTGAGGGGAAAATATAACGGAAATTGTTATTTTTCCATTTATCTAAGAGTTAATCCGATATATTGATTTGAAGTAATATAGCAATATGCGATGGCGCTTTTGATATTCTTCCGTTGGTTTCTTAAGGAGACTTTAGTCAAACATTTCTAAAATATATTCTTTGACAAAAAATTAGGGAGTTAGGCATATCTCCTAGAAATTGTCTCCTATAAAATAAATGAGTTATGCTTTATCACACAGCATCTAAATATATGTATATATATTTTATTGGTCTTTCCACGGAGTAAGCCAGGTCTTCAGACCCAACCTGATCACGAATATATATGCCTGGGGGCTTTGAATATCTGGCTTGTTCCTGTCACATTCAGGAATATACACATACATACCCTGTTGGTCGACGGGTATCAAAACGCCGGATCTCGGACCGGCGGACATCATCCGCACGTACAACGTTGTCTCGCCCAGACAGTTTGCAAACAGAGACGACCCACCGGAATCCCACTCCATCCCATCCCAACCCATCTCGTCTCCCAGCGAATCCCATCCTAATCCATCCCACATCCCTCCATTTGCTCCATTGTTTTGCTTTCGCTGCGTGGAAAGCCAAAAAGCTTTCACTGCTCTCCAGTCCTTTCATCCGGTGCGGTTCGTTCTTAAAGATAAAAACTAGTGGATCAGCAGCACTTAATTACATGAAATGAAAACTGTTAACATTCCGGACAAGAACAAGGATTCGCCTTAAGTGGTGGCCCATTGTGTTCTGGGGGCATGTGACATGATAATCATCGCCATCGACCAAGCGAATCACTCAGCATATCGGAGCGACTCATAAAGCTGAAGGACGTTTATGGCAACCTCAAGGGTCGTCAGTGTTAATTGACCCAATTGCAGCAGGGGGTGGGGTGGGGGGGGATGGAGATTGGATAGGATATAGGATATAGGACTGGGGGATTGGGTATTGGGCACTCGGCTTTTGTCCAGGAAGGAGGCGTTGACCCACAAAACGACAAACGGCAGATGACCAAAATGGGAGCCTGTTGCTGCTCCATCGCTGCATCGCATAACTCGTATAATCTGATGCGATTTTCAGATTTGTGAAGCGAACCGAGGGCAGCGGGGAAATGGAAATGGGAATGGGGATGGGAATGGGAATGGGAATACGAAATAAATGCGGACCTGGGTTGCTTTTAAAATGCAACAGCCGCCGGAGGAGGAAACGGCAGCACCAACAACCGTCGAGTGCCATAAAAGGGGCTAAAGTACAAATCGTTGTCACATGTGAGCCGCATTTTTATGGCCGCCGGCTTGGGAATTTCTGCAACATTTCCAAAAGCCTCCGGCGGCGGAGGCAGCCTCGCATGAAGAATTTATTGTCCGCTCTGTAAATGGTCAGGGCAGGCAGACATTTGGGCATTTGCCGGACCCTGTCCACTTGGCCACTTGGCCACTGGCTTCTCTGGCTTCTCTGGCTGCCACCCGATTCAGCTGCACCTGCACTCAGAAACCAACCACCTTAGCGTTCTTAACAATTTAAAACTGCTTAAGTAAATATTTGGAAATACAGAATTAAAAAGGACGAAAAAGAAACAAATTTTAGAGAAATATTAAGGAACCAAAAAATAACACATCTTAAAATAAAATTGTAAACTTATTTTGAATATGATTTATTGGTAAGCCAATTTAGAATATGATAGATACATGTTTGGTTATTCAAAATACGTTTTTATTTATAAATTGTGTGGTTCTGGCAATTAATGATTTTATGAGCCCTAAAAATAAGCCAATGGCAACCGTAAAGAATATCTATAAAAATGCAGGCTTAATTTCTATGGTTATGTACTATATGTTGACCTTACCTTATGAATTGTTGAAGTAATATTTAATTAAACTTAAATCGATGAAAAAAATTTAATTGGAAACCTTTAAATTAAATTTTCAACAAATAATGTTAGGTTTTTTTATAAGAGAATATATTTTTGAACTTTTTAATACTAATCACTATAATTGTTTATACTTAAAAACCTAAAATATTTATAAAATATAGGTAATAGAGGCCTTGAAATTTTGATACAGAAAAAGTGACTGCAGGGTGTTGATTTTTTCCGAGTGTACCTCCCACTGCTGCCCTTTCTGGCTGCAACTGCCACACAGCCGCTGCTCCCATTCAATTGTGCAACAGGTCAGCTTTGCCCGCAGAAGGTGCTGCAATTTTTATTGCTTTCACGAGAATCGGGCGAGGCCCTTTAAAGGCTTTTGGACCGGACTGAGGTTGAGGTTGTGGCTCGGACGCAGGCCCCAGGGCAGACGAAGATGATTCAATTGATTGATTGATTGATTGATTGACCGCTGGGCCAGTCGGTGGGGAAACTGGCTTCGCAGCCGCGGAGGAGCGCCGGTGACGTCAAGCAAATCGTGGCTGGGTGGCACTCGAGATCCAGCTCCAAGATGCTAATTCACCCCGGAATGCCTGGCTCAGTGGCAAAAGTGTACCCAGAAACAGCGGCAGAGACTCCGATGATTGACTTACAACTCTGAATTAGCTGAATTGGCTCTAAACGAGGAAAATTGTATGAGGGTATGCTGCAGAATGCTTACAAATCGTATCACAATCTGTGCAAATGAAGTGATCAATAGTCGATAACTAAATTTTGCAGGCTTTTGCTTACTGAAATTATTTATTATTGCCTGTTAACATGTATAATACATTTATAATACTTTCTTACATTTTTGGCCAGGTTACAATTGGATAATTATATCTTATCGTAACTAAGGTAAAACAAAAATCTATTTATAAGCCATAACACCGGTAAACCATCTTATCTCATTCTACTTTGCCCGCGGTGTCTTCAATTTCAAAATCTAAACTTGACAAACAAACTGAAGCAGATGTTCTCCGGCATGGGAAGCATGTAGTTTGTTGATAGCACTTTGCTCTCTTCCAGTGGCTTACGTTAAAATATTTTGAAAGGGGACTTGGAGTTGTAAAAAGTAGTAAAAAAAAAATAGTGAAATAATATCAAAATCAATATTGTAATGACCCCTTAAAACTGACTTTCGGCTGATATAACATTTACAAACACAATTGTTTGATTATAAATAACATAGTCCAAAATAAGACATTATTTTTTCTGGTAATTGAACTTGGTAAAAAGGGTTTATTTTTTTTGGAAATCTAGCTTTTTGTTCAAAATATATAATTATTAATATTTTGAATTGCATAAGAACTAAGAGCTTATATTAATTACTTAGTCCAATGACTACATAGATTGTATCTAATAAATTGAAATTAAATAAATAATATATATGATGAGTATATATTATGAGCTTGAATAGCTTAGTTTAAGTGTGTGATAGGTGGCAAGATAGTTGCCTAGTTGTGGAATGTTCTCAAATGCCTGCGTGAAAGTGAAATCAAATAAAATGAGTGAAGACGCCTACGCCCCTGTCCGCTCCAAATGCCCACTTGTCGTGAGCTGGCAGCCAAAGTCCAAAGACCCGATTCAGCTGCTGATTACATTATTCCGCTTTCTCCGGCGGACTCTCTCATTCGGCATTTGGCATTCGGCATTCGAAGCTCGAGCGGAGTGAACATTCCACCATGTGGGTGCAGAGATTACTGGGTCGTTCCCTGGGCGAACTAAGACTTGGTCGCCAGATCAGCGCGCGGATCGTCAACGAATCGAACATCGAGGTTCAGCCGGCGAGTGGTGACAAGCCGCTGACTTTTCCGGGCGTTTGGCTGCGGGACAATTGCCAGTGCGACGACTGCTTCCACGGCAGCTCCAAGTCGCGCAAGTTGGACTGGGACAGGTTCGACACCCGCATCCGCCCGGTGGACCTGCAGGCGGATGAGCTGGCCCAGGAGGTGGTGGTCAGGTGGAGCGACGCCCACGAGAGCAGGTTCCCGCTGAAGTGGCTGAGGGATCGCAGTTTCGAGGAGCGACGGCAGGCGGAGTACCTGCGCGACTTCTACAGACCACCGACCAGACATTGGTCCGGAGCGGAGTTCCAGGAGATAGCCAGGCACTTCAGCTACGACGAGGTGATGGCAAAGGACTCGGTGCTGATGCACTGGCTCCAGGCACTGGCCGTCCACGGGGTGGCCCTGCTCCGCGGAGCACCGCTGGACGAGGGCGTGGTGCGGCGACTGGCGGAGCGGGTGGGCTTCATCCGGCGCACCACCTACGGCGAGGAGTTCGTGGTGCAGGCCAAGCCGGGGGCCCAGAACTTCGCCTACCTCTCCCTGCCCCTCCCCCTGCACACCGACCTGCCCTACTACGAGTACAAGCCGAGCGTCAACATCCTGCACTGCGTCGTCCAGACGGAGTCGCCCGGCGGCAGCAACATGCTCGTCGACGGCTTCCACATCGCCGACATCCTGCGCCGCGACCATCCTGAGGACTTCGATCGCCTCTGCCGCGTCCTCGTCGACTGGAACGACATCGGCAGCGAGGACGGACGCGAGTTCCACAACATCTGGCGGGCGCCGGTCATTTGGTGAGTCCACCCACACGAGGCTGCAGCCGAAAGCCGTCTCAAGTGGCAGGAAAAAACTTGGTGAACAAAACCAAACAGCCAAAGAAACAGTCACTGCGAAAAATCTGACAGCAAGTTTTTGCCACAAGATTCCAACGCTTTTGATTAGGTGTTTTAAAGTTAGTTCTCTTTTAAAATCGTTAACTTAAAGAACATCCAAAAAACGTAGTGGCCCAAAACTTGTCAAAATGGCATGACATTTTAGAAAGATTTTATTGTATAACATTATTAGTTATTCCAAAAATGTAGGTTATTGTCTTTTCTAGGTGTATTCATGTTTAAGAACCGATCAGATCATTCGAGTATATAATTCTGCTGACATAGAAACAATTTTACCACATTGACTTAAATTAGCTTTTTCAAAAGTAAATTAAAATCCATATTTTTTAAAATTGTTATCAAATTTGTTGCCTAATTAAAAAGTATTTTGAATTTTGCTTCAAATTGCACTTTCACTTTCTTTTATGAAATGTAGTATTTGGTCTAATTTAGTGGTCTCACCCTCAAATAAGTTATCCCTTTCGTTTACAAAGGGCCATTTTAATCTGTCATGAACATTTATAATTAATATTATGTTCTGTTCGGGTCCAACTAAAATTTAGCTATTGCTACAAGGCCTTGAACTAAAACTGGATAACAAACTTGATGTTATGTATTTAATAATTTGTTGCATGTTGTATGGCTTAAAATTAAATATGGGTTGAAAGCTTTTATTGAAGTAAAGGGTTCTACGCAAGGATTTTATTGGATACAAGTGTTTAAGAAAAACCAGAAAAATATCTTACTAACTATTTTCTGTTTAAGTGATTAGTATTACTTTCGATTTGGCTTTAACACTTTGTGTATGTGGACTTAAGGCTGCCTTTAAGATTGAGTTTGATGTGAATTTCCCCCCTAATTCCCTCCCCTGATTCCCACCCCACAGCTTGGATTCCGCAGGGCGGTACACGCGGGTGAACCACAGCGTTCCGCAGCGGGACAGCCACTTCAACGTGCCGCTGGAGGAGGTCCTTCCGTGGTACGAGTCCTACGCCCGCTTCGTCCGCCTGGCGATCGCCGACAGCCACGCCTTCAAGACGCAGCCCGGCGACGTGCTGACCTTCAACAACATCCGGCTGCTCCACGGACGAGCCGGATACGACGACTCCGAGGAGAGTCCTCGCTACATTGTGGGCGCCTATCTGGACTGGGACATCATATACTCTCGGCTGCGGGTCCTGAAAAAAAAGTTGCACTCGGATTCGGATGCGGATGCGGATTCGGAGTTGGGGTCCCAATAAAAGCCAACGCGAGATGGCATATTTTCCAAGCCATTTGATGTGAGCTTCTCATTTGAATAGTTGCCCCACCGCCCACCGGATTTTGGGCTTTGCCCGCCACATATGCTGTGATTGCCACTGCCACTGCCACTGCTACTGCTCCTGAGTCCCCAATCCTGAATCCTCCTAATCCGGTTTAGCTTTGGGCGCCAATTTCGGCAGTTAAGTCAGCTCAAGCGCAAAAATGAAAAGTTGTAAAAAATCGTGATGATCCCGGCGAAAAAAGTCACCAAGTTGGGCGGATATAAAGCGGTGGGTGGTGGGTGGTGAGCGGTGGGTGGTGGTATGTCGCGGCTTATTTGCATCGCGGCATTGGCTGACAAATGGTTTGTGAAAATGATTGACAGCGGGGAGTGGGGGGTTTTAAATTTAGGGTCCAGGGGGTGTGGGCAAATTGGCCACAACAGGAAACTGCTGACTGGTTGGGAGTGTCAGAAACCACTCAAGAAGCAAAACATGGAGACAAATTTTGAGATTAGATAATCTACATTAACCGCTTTTCAATTTTTCCGCAAATCATAATTCCATAAGCTCATATCATCTACTATAGTAAAGCTAACCAAAAATATTAATGATTTTAAACTTGTACAACATAGAATGATATTCCCCTGCCACGAAAAACATTCTATTCTTTGGGAAATCTTTAATCCATATTATTATAATTTTTCTTGTTCAACATATTATATTGTTATTCATTCGTTATTTTCTCAACGCTTTTTTCTCATTGACAAAACAGAAAAAGTAATTTTAATAACCTTTAGGTATGTTTTTCTATAACTAAGCCAAACAAGATTTTGATTGCTCGCTTACTAAAAAAGTATTTTTGATGAGGAAAACCCAAAAATTTTCTGAGAAAAGTTTCTTACTGCCTTGAGTACTTATTCTTCTACATTTGTGGCTTATGCATTTTGATTGCCCTGCTAAACTTTATTTACTTTACTATTTACAAGAATCATGTTTGAGTTACATTTGTGTCCTTTTCCTATTCGCTGAAACTTCGATTGTAAAAAAAATATATCATTGATCCATTCAATATATTTGGCAATATTTGTGGAATATAAGCACAAAATTTCAAATCGATTGCATGAAAACTTTAGGATGTTAGCAATAAAATAGGTTAATAAGAAAGGCATAATCTATATACATAAACTGTTTTTAATTGAGCGAACACAGAAATTACTGAGAACAGGTGAAGCTGTTGAGTTCTAACATATTTTGGTCGTGTCAGTAAATAATTGTTTCTTGTTGAAATTGTCAACAACTTGGCTATTTATTTATTGGTAAATACTATTTTAAACACAGCAGTCGCAGACATTTCTTTCTGTGTAGCTAGCAGGCAGAGTTGCCGGCCGGGAAATCTCGGTTTGGAGTGCATTAACCTTAAGGAGCGCTCATTGAGGAGCGGTGGTTAATCGCCCAACACGCGTTCTTGTATTGAAGCTCCTCGAGGTGCCAGCTTTTGAGGTCCTGGGCTCCAGGGCTCCTCTGCTCCTCGAAGTGGCCACCTGAATGGGGCGAAAAGTTCTTGGGACCCGGAAACGTAGCCGTAAATGTAGGCATGGCCTTACGAAATCTGCCCCCGGCTGGAAAAACTTCTATGCCAATTTCCTTTTAAATATTTTATAGGGCCCCATTATGCCTACTTATGTCTTGTTATAGTAATAAAATAAAATTTAAAAGTGCGGTGGGTCGGGCGGTGGGAAAAGTGCGGAGAGGTGGCGAGCGAATTGTTAAGAAAAAATATGAAAAGTCGCTGGTAACGAAACCCGACAACTCCCTTCCGCTGGAAAACATTTCGAACAACAGTTACAACGCCAGCAACTCCACATCCACATCCACATCGACTTCGGCATCGACATCCCCAGCCAGAATCCCACTCCGAATCCCTTCCTTCAAGTCCTGCGATAACAGGAATGGCAACAGCAAGTGGAAAAAGCGAAAAACCTAAAGAAGTGAGAGGAAAAGTGGGGCGGGGAAAAGGCCGAAGGCGTGGAGGAAAAGCGGCGGAGATTTGCGGTCAAAATTCGGCTGTCGTGATACAAGTTGGCCGCTGCAATAGGCCAAATCTCAGGGGATCTTACCCTTTTCTTCTGGATGAATGTTGTAATTAAAATAGAAAATAAGATAAACATAATTACAGAACTAGAACATCTAGAAAAACATCTGCCTAAAAGTATGCAAGCTAAGTAACTCGCTATAATCAACAATCAGAACGAAGTGTTACATACTTAGAGGAAATACTTGCTCCTTAAAATAGAACAAAAGTATTATACAAAATAGCAATCGATTCTATTTTGAATAATCAAATATATAGGAAGTTAAATTTCTATTATGTTCGTAAGATTTATTTATCTGATTAAAATTAATTGTATTTTATATTGAGAAAAAGGTAATTGATTATAAAGTATGTTACGTTTTCAAGTCATATTTAATATACATATATAAGAGAAATGATTTACTTCTAACAAATATAAAAATTTAATGAAACTTTTTCCATTCTTTCTAATCTTTTTTCTGACTTTTATGTATTACATCCAAAAGGTACTGTTGAAAGGTGTTAAACTATATGTTTTTTAGACTTTGAGTTTGAGAGAGCTTCATCACATTTAAAACAAACATTTTCCTCTGTTTATCCTTCTGAATTAATGATAAAGTTTTAATTTACATTATTTTTAAGCTATAAGTTATATGTTAAATCAAGCCACAGATCCGACTGGTCTTACAAACTGAGCGTAGAGCATTTATCCTTGTGCTCCTTGTAGTCAAGTGAAAGCATTTCCATGGTTGCGAAATGCTTGTGTGTGTTTGGCCTATGCCACATAGAGTTCTCCTTGTGGACGTGGGCATGGGTGTGTGTATTCCCTTAACACGCATCATGACGCCCAGACAAAAAGCGTACAACTTCTTTTTCGCTCCGCACTTATCCCCATCCCCCTGACCGACCGAGAAAAAAGCGAGAGAAAATGAAAAGTCTATAAAAAGTTTACTTTTTTAATACTTTTCGCATTTATATGTAATAAAAATCTTGTAAAATACGCCTTTTTTGCACTTCACAATGCGCCCCATGTGAATGCCATCAGTGGGACTCGGCACCGCAATACCCCACTTCCACATCCACATCCTCATTCACTTCCACATCCTCATCCACATCCACTTCCACCTCCTCCACCGCAAGTTTAGGGTTCAGTGCAAAATTCTGTTTTACTTGACTGGCGTCTCTTTGGCCTCCGGCAATTTGCAACTATGGAGCAGCAGTTGGGTTCGTCCTGCGCCAGGAGCAAACTTAATCCAGCGAAGGGTTTTGGATAACGTCTTTCGATTTTTGGCATTCGGAATTTTATTTTAACACTACAGAAAATATTAAACTCGTTCTAAAGAAAATGTGTTTGAAATCAGATTGTGTTTGTCCAAATTCTATTAAAATCAACAACAAAAGTTAGATATTTAAATTACATTTTCAAATTTTATTTTTCCTCGAGCTTGAATCTGTTCAGAAAAAAATAAGTCGCCCAGAAAGGTATTGTTAAGCATTTATAAAAAAAAGGCTTACATTAGTCTCAAAAGGAACCAAAATAAACAACAAATAGTAGATTACCACAAATAAGAATAATGAAGCCGGAATTCTTCGACAGCCCCATTCTTGGAAACATTTCTTTAGCTCTTTTATAAAATACTTAATGTCTGTGTGTGTGAAGACACTTAAAGAATTATTTCTAAGCTTGGGAAAATTAAAAGTAATTTGCTTAAATATACAATTTGTGTTTAATATGGAGCACTTTTCTTAATAGCAATTGTAAGTCATTGGATCATTTTTCATAACGATAATAATTAAGAACAATTTCTTTTTAATAAGCCAAAAAATGAAATATTGCCAATGAAATATTTGTATTTATATGTATATAATTGCTACACATTTATTTTTAATAAATACATCGACGGCGTTTTTGTGGTAACGAATAATTTTGAGAGAAAGCTAAGAGTTTTCTCCGAGTGTGGTGATGCTGTGTCAACTTTTGTGTTGTATTTGCTGCAACAGCAAGTGGCAGCACTTGAAATCCAAGCGGCGTAATCCCAGCAGACGACCAGGCCCAAAATGCTTCCTAGTCGGGCTGAGAATTTCTAAGGGAGTCGCATGGAAAAAGACTTTGAGCGTTTTCGAGGGTCTGATGTTGGGCGGGGGCGTTGTTGGTGTAACAAAAACAACGATATTAGGGAAAAAAGGTTTAATGCGGCCTAAGTTCCCTTCGAAAGAGTCCCCATCCGGATATCTGCCTTTCAGTTTTGGGGGTAAGACGCAGATATACTGCGAGGCAACGACGTCGTCAATCGGCATTTGGCATTTCTAGCCATGGCAACGCCCGAGCTGTATGATGAGGTTGTGCAGCAGGCCACAAAATCCCAGTTGCCTGCCTCCACTGATTGGCCAACTAATCCCCGTATATCTTTGCACAGGGTGGCGAATTTGGGCTGGAACCCACACCCACACGTTTAATAGAGTCCCAAAAAGAAAGCAGGAGAAGGCGAAAGCGAAAGCTTTGCCAAGGAGCATTTTTCAATTTTTCACTTTAATCAAATTAAAATTCATTCGTTGCGCTTATGAAGCGTGCAAGGACGTAAGGGAGGGTGTGAGGGTGGCACTCTGTCTGCCGCAGACAGACGCCGCTGTCCGCTTTGTCCTTGCATCGCCAAGGCAACCAGACCATCCCGGCCTATGGACCACCGCCATCCCAGGACCTCCCCCATCGAACCCACCCACCACCGCACAACGGAGTTTTAGCGGTTATTTCTTTTTTAGCCGTGATACCTTCCAGCAGGGGAGAGTATTGATTTCGAATTCCCGGATTATTATTTCTCCTGTCCGACTGACCCTGTCCCTTTCCATTCAATTATTCAAAATCCGGACTTAATGGTTATCATTATTGTAAGAAAAATAATAAGAAGAACGCATGCTAACTTCGGCAGTCCGAAGTTTAAATACCCTTGCAGTCGTGGTATAAAATATTTTTAAAGTGGTTTTTTGCTCTAAATACGACGCACAGTTAAAAGAATGGCTTTTTTATGCAGATGAGGTCCTAAACTTTAGATTCCAGGTTGACGAGCAACAAAATTCTCTTTAATCGATTTTAGCTATTAAAGCCACTTGATTGAAAATTTTATAACAAATTCAACGAGGTATAACATTCTCGCATGTTGGAATTATTTCATAATTTTTTTTCGCAGGATTTGGATCAAAAAACCGAAAAGTCGAGCTTGTTTTTCGGTTTTCGGCCAAAAAATGTTCTTGTGGGGTAACCTCATGATTATTTTCAAAAAAATAAAAATTTTTAGCGGTGAATGGCACTTGATTTGAAATTTTATAACGAATTCAACGAGGTATAACATTCCAACATGCGACCATTATTTCTTAGGGTTTGGATAAAAAAAACCGAAAAATCGAGCTGATTTCTTCCGGATTTTGGCCAAAACAGTTATCATAACATCATGATTTTTTACAAAAAATAAAATTTTTTGCTGTGAATGCCACATGACTGGAAATTTTAACGTGGTACGACTGGCAACGCCTTGTTCGAGTGAGATGTCTGCGTGTACGATTACTTTCTTGCCACACTTGCCCAAGAAAATTGAATAGCATCCTGTTGACAGCAACTTACTTTCTCGGCTACGTGATGCCGATCCCAAGGTATCGTTTGGTCGAGCACTCTCCACGGACGTGCTTCGCCACTTACATCTCGGCGCATTTTATTTCTTTGTCAAGTTTGCCAGACCAAAAACTTTGTCCGTCGCTTTGCATTGCGGTCGACTTGCCACCGAACATCCTGCAGCACATCCACATCCACATTCACATCCACCTCCCCCGACCAGCTCCTTGAAGTCCTTGTATTGCCGAAACTGGAAACGCTGCAAGGCATTTTCCGGGCAGCTATGCGAACTGTGGCTGTACATTTAGGCACGACTTCAGATGCAACGGAAGCAGCAGCAGGAGCGGCCACCCCGGGGCCGTGAAATTTGATAAATATGCGTATTAGTTTCAGTTGCCGCTCGCAGGACGCACAGGCGGCAGGACCTGGGTCCGTGCGATGAGAGCAGAGCTCAAATAAAACTAAGAAACGGCCCCCGGGCGGAAATTTTACTTAAATTGCGCTTTAAATTAATTTGCTCGGGCAAGGACAAGTGGCAAGTTTTCCCCTCCTCAAGGCGATGCCCCAAAAAGTATGCAGCACTATGCGACTCGGACTCGCCCGTGGCAAAGTGGGCTGGCACAATAAACTGCTTATGCAAATGCAAAATCAATAGAGAGTCCTCGAGCAGAAGATCCTGATGGTAGTGGGCGGGGGGAGGGGGAGGGTGGGTTCCTCCCAAACGACGAGACGACTTTATTGCCGCACCTCGACGGAAGGAAAACGGAGGGATTGTGGGCAGCGTGGGCACCTCCCTGATGACTTTCCCGTGATTCCATTAACCTGATGGTCCCCAAGATTTTCAGCAGTAGATTCAATATTCCGTTTGGAGGTCGTTTGAATAATGCGAATTTAATACACATTTTGTCAGTATGATTAGGTCACTAAGCGATTTCAAAATAGATTTTTATTTACCGCTAATTATACTGTGTATGACCTCTTTGCACAATCAGATTTTTTAATTAGGTTCTTGGTATTTAATAATTAAAGGACTGCTCACATGTATTTGTTATAAAAAATACTTTCCTAGCATTAACATAATTCCAGTGCCTTATACATAATTAAATTTTGATTTTAGATTAAGAATTCAATAGTTTAATTGTCTTACTTCCTTAAATAAATAGAATTTTTTTATAAATAAAAGGTTTACCTTTTTACAATTCCACACTTACGTAACTAATGTTACCCAACTCCCAAAGAAAACAAAATAGTCAGTTTGATTTCGTTATTAGTTTTATTATTATTATTAGCAATTTGTCCACTTAATTCGATTAAACTTTCATGCTCTTTTTGCTTTGTTTTCGGTTTTTTACTTTTTCAAGTACACATAAATGATATACATATATAACTTGGATTCCCTTCCATCTGCTTGTCTTTGATATATTTTTTCTTTTGCCACAAAAATTGCATACTTTATGTATTATGATTAATCATATTTTAATATTTATTTATATATATATATATATATATATATTATATAAGTACCAACTACAATACTTTAATATCAGACAATGTGAATTCCTTTTGCTTTCTTCTGCTGCTATTTTCTGTGTGTGTGTGCAATTTATGGTTCAACATAATAATTAGCAATAATCGAAATTGTAATCAATTTATCAATATATATATCTATATGTATAGGTTTTATCTGCTTTACCGTTTCTTCTTCACTCGTTTACGTTTTTTGAGTATTTACAAAAAATCTAAGATAAAAAAAATTGCTTTCTTTTTGTGTTTGCTTTGTTTTTGATTATATTTATGTTTTATACGTATGTATGCGTTTTATGTATTCTTTTGTTTTATTTTAGCTTACCATATGAATAATTCGTTTTGGACACACACGCATGATATTCATATTAGTCTGACAAAAAAAAAAACATTATTTAATAATTAATCGTGTTTGTTTGTGTGTGGTCGAAGGATATGTGATTAGTAGGCCATGCTTAATGCATATGCAAACCAAAAGGGAAGTGATCTACAGGAAAGAAAGAATTTTGGATCGCCAAAACTTTGCATTCCGGTTCCCATAACATATAAATACATTTTAGCTCTCTGGCTTCCCCTCCTCGTGTTCGTTATAAATATACTCAGTTTAAGTGTATTAATTTATAATTAAGATTAGGAAAAAAAGGTGTAAATAAATAAACGGCTTGACATATCAACTAATGACTAATTTGGTTATGTTTGCATCTCTCTTTAAGTACTTGTTCATTCCTTCGAAGAAGTTTCATTTTGTTTTTGAATTAGCGGAAACGGAAGTCAATTTGTCAGCTTGGGGCTGTGTTTGTGGTACGAATAAGGGTTTTTTTTCTGTGATGTTTGGTGGGCATTTCAATTAATATTTTTTTATTTTTATTTTATTTTTTTTTTTACCAAATGCTAGTTAACAGTTACGGGCCACCCTTTCCATTTGTAAATACTCTCGGAGCGGTTAAGAGATTTTTTATCCACTCGACTGTCGCTGCGTCAATTTATATGCTAATGGGGCCTGCATCCTATTTAAAATACATATGCGACAACACGCCTGTGGCCACGCCCCCTCCCCATTCTGCGTTAAATGAACGACAAAAATTGCGAAAAAAAAACACGAAAAAAGAATGAGAAGAACCCAATTTATTTAAATCTATATAAATGTTTTATATCTCTGTGCGTACACGTACATTATATAAATTAATATGTTTTTTTTTTCAGGGCCGCTCGCTCGCCCACATATCCGACTGGCCACGCCCCCTGTGGCCGCTCCCGCCCCCGCTGGAGAATGCCGCCGAAAAAATTCAGTTAACGCAAAATCTCATTTAAATATGCATGAAGGCATGAAGCCGGCCACAGTCGACGAGACCAGACCGAGGCCACAATTGAATTTCTCATTTCATTTCCCTTTTTTTCTGTTGTTGAAAAGAAAAAAGTATTTCAGAATTTATTTAACGTTTATTTTGGAAGTTTCAGGTAAAAAAAAGGGTTGATCCCAATGACGAGGGATGGAATCAGCCCTAATAAGATCGTAAAGTGGAAACAATGGCATTGTGCGCAACAAAATATTCATAAGAGTACATGCCAAAAATAATAAATCCATATTTGGGTGGAATAAATGAGTTCGATTGGAAAGCATGTCATTGTGATATAAAAATGCGCTAATTAATTGGCAGCTAAGATAAGAATTTGCCATATTTTGATAAAACATATTAGGTTTTAATTTTTGGTTAATTTGTATAAATTTTGTTTAGATTCAACGGATCATTATTTGTTATCTTGATAACTGAAAACTGCTTTGGTGCTGGTAAAACCCATAAAATTTGATGACTTTTGCTGCCAACCCATTGCAATAGTAAGTATACGCCTTTGCAGTGCATCATTGTGCATAAAAATGTGTATAAATGTATACAGTTAAAAGTTGACAATTTTGCATTTATCTTGCTGCAGGACATATTTCCAAATGAGTGTCCTTGTGTGTTTGTCGGTGGGCACACGTGTGTTCATGACTCATACGCCACGTTGGCCAGCGGGAAACAGACACAGAAACAGATACAGATACAGATTCAGATCCAGAGCTAATTATGCGTCCCTGGGCGGAGAGTGAATGCGAACACAAATCTCGGCTTAAATGCCGCAGCATGTTAACTGTCCAACGACTGTGGACTGTCCCTGCATATGTTGCCCCCATTTTGATTTATCATACATCATGGTCACGGTCGGACCTGAATAACTTGTGAGTGGAGAGGTGGCAAGGGGCATGGGGGCATGGGGAATGGGGCACTCAGTCGTCAGAATCGGACGGCCACAAAAGGCCCAGAGAGTAGGTGTCGTGCCAGCAGCCGTCGAATACAAAGTCAGCCAAAGATCTCGATTCAGTCACTCTGCGCCGGCGGATGGCAGGCAGCACATAAACACGAAAATAAATTCATTAAAACATTTATCAAGTTCGACACTTGGCTGTCATATATCATGTTACATTTTGAGCCCGAAACATGTTTAATCCGCAGCAACATCGAAAAAATGTAACTGCAATCGTCGGTGGTTCGCCGGTTTTTGGGGGGGCATGCATATCAGTGGCTCAGCCCACGAAGTTCATTTGTACTGTACACGGACAAAAAAAATGGTTCAATTTGCATGTGCTATTAATTGTGAAAACAAAACATTTTTTTTTTGCATTTAAACTTGAAATTTTTTGCTTTAAAATATATATGCTAATTAATTTTGAAAAGTCTTTCAAGTTTTGATTTTGTAAAACCACTTTTCAAAGCTAATTTTTCTGTTTGTTTCTGCTGTTTAATTTGTATTACGTGTTTCAAGTTGTCTGGTGCTTTGTTGGTTTTCGCTTGTGATGCTTATCGAGCGGTACAGGCAGCACTCACTAAAGCAGAAGCTGTGATCACTCTAAATTATTTTGTTATACTTCTTTTTTGATCATATTTTAAACTGACTTATAATAAAAACAAAAAATAAACAGCTTAAGGATTATTTTTTATCCAAATAATCTAAAAATTAGGATATACTTCGAGTGAAAAAATTAAATTTGGGCATCATTTACAAAGAAAGTTTATCTATTTTGTAAAAAGGACTTTAAGTATTTATCAAAACAACATGGTTTGAAAGTCAATTTCGCTATGAAAAATGTGATATTTGTGATGTGAAGATATATAATTTATTTTTCGCACACTCTCAATAGGAACCATTCTTTTTGGGTGGGTTTCACTGTACTAAGAGGCTACCCGGGATGAGTTTCAAGTGTTGCGTGGCCTACACATGCTCCAAAAACAAGTTACAACCGGTCCCCCCCGCGATCCCTTAACACCTCCATCTCACTCTTAACGCCTTCGATTCGATTTCAGACAGAAACAGAAACTGAAACTGAAACAGAAACTGATTGAATGCGAGCAAGCGAGATGGTGAGTGGGAATCGATGCGCTTCCAATTTGCATGCATAATTCAAATTGAAAATTAAATTCAAATAAATGCATTTTAAATGCCTGTTTTGCCGTCGACGCTGCCTTGGTTTTTTATTGATGCATTCATCAAACAAATTGGTATGCAAAAGCGCGTGAAAAATCAACTAGCATATTGTCAATAAACATGTGCATAATTATCGTTAAAAACTGTTTGCATAAATTCTTGAGAAACGTTTTGCTGCTGCACAAAAATACACGAAAACCAGAAGTTCAAAATTAAAACAAAGGAAGAGAAAATAAGTAACTTCGCAAGCTAGATTTTAGTTACTCTTGCAACTTGGATAATTGTGTAAAATCTCCAATTTTTTAAAAACTAAAACTATTAAATTAGAAAAATTCTAGACACTTTTGAATATTTCAACATGGCATTAAAGTCCCTCACACCTGAAAAAAACTTTTAGAAAAAAAATGAACTGGTGTGGGACAAGCAAAAAATGGTATTTAAACGGCAATTTGGCAAATATTTGAAATTGAATCAATTTTTGGTCACGGGACAGATAGTAAAAATCGAGAAACCGGAGCTAAAAAAGTTAGCTCTTTAAGCATTATCAGGGGTAGAGGCTATATGAAACTTACTAACAATAAAAAATAATATATAAATAAACAATGACATTGACATTTATACACAATGATGACTAATTTTCGATACAATTAAATAATGTCATTGGAACAGATAGACAATGATCACTAATGTTCGCATTAAGTTTTCCTTTAAAAAAAATTGATATGGTTTTCGTCGATTAGCATGAAAATAAACCCATTCGTTTTAAAATTTCCGGTTTTTTCACGGCCTTTGTTTTATTCAGTACAAATTAAATATATTTATGGTGTGATGGTTGGTTGGTTAATCTGGAAACTAAGTGCATATCTACCAAAACAGTCACTTTAAAGGATCGAAATATTATGAATAAAAAAGGTATGTGGTAGTGGCTACTATTGAGTACCCCTGGATGATGGACAAATGGTCAAGGTTCGTGTTGTTGGTTTATGACTGCACTTATGTTCTGTTTGTACATCACTGCCTCACTGCCCAAATTTCCATTTGTTTGCTTGTCTAGAATTGCGACACGCGACGCGTTTCACCCGATGTTTCGGCACTTTTTCGCACTTATTTTCAATATATCAATGTTTTTTATGGCCAGAGTGAATAGTCGTTATGGACAGGGGCCACGCCCACCCACTGGCACGTAACTGTAATTAGCATTTGGTGTTTCATAAAAGGGAAAAATACACAGTGTTTTCTTGTTTTCCGATTGTTTGTCTGTTTGTTTGCCGATGTTTGTGTAAAGCGCTTTATAGACTAGAGACCGCCCCGGAAGAAGGTAATTTATTGAGGAATTGAGATTATATAGACGGGACGCCGCTACTTGGGGTTACTTCCGGTTGGGAATTAAGTTCCTGGGGACTGCTGATGATGGATAGAATGTAGGGGAGGGGGTGGATGGGGTGGATGGGGGGTTGGTTGCTCCGATTCGATTAATTTATAGCATGATGCCGAAGAAGGTCAGAAACTTGAGTAAACTGTACAATTTATACAAAAACCGATACCTAGCCAAGTGTGTGAAATTGAAATCCGCTCTGACATATTCCGTTTCCGGCTCGATTCAACTGCATTTGCGAGCGCGCCGCTGGAAGCGCTTCATGCGCAACGACCACTCGTCCTTCCACTCCAGGACCACCGAGCTGGGTCCTATGGCCAAGTAGCCGGGCGCCGCCTCCGAGTCACGTCCAAGGATGAGATACGATCTGCGGGGGGAGAGGGTCGAATGGGAGGGCATTAGGTGGTTATCATTTAATTGACCTGGCTACCCAAACTAAGGAGATCTCTCTTATTTGACACTTTTTTAACACCCATCAATTCTTAATTCATTTTAACTTATATCTCGAACATCCGCTAACTCAAGATCTTTAAAAGTCAACCTTATTGTGATGGCAATACGTAGAATATTCGCACGTGAAATGTTTTACATACCTCACCTAACTCCAGCTTATTTTGGTAGCAATTATGAAAGCTCAACTCTATTCAGTGTTGTCACAGAAATTTCTTCAAACTAATTTTTAAACCAAAACCAATTACGGTGTTACAGAAACCTTTTAGATTTGAACTAAACAATTTAAGATAGAAAAGACTAATAGTTCTGAAATGATGGCAAATAATGACGAGATATAAGGAGATAATTGGTATTGCCATCATACCATTAAAATAACTGATCTTTAACTATTAAAAATTTTTGTTATACATATATGGACAAATATGTATGTGTATATATATACTTTTAAAAATCAATCTGTTGGTATATTGCATGTATGTAACTATATAATTTAGTAATAGTTTTAAGCCAGTTGGTTTCTATTTTTGAGGCTACTTAATAGTTGACTTGGAATAAATTGCATACTGAAATGCATTTAACCACCCAAAACTGATTATTATAATTCTCTGAGTAAATATAAATAAACACTGATAGCACAAACTATTCCATTTGGATTCGATCGTTGTCTACTCACTTGTTTAGCTTTATCTTGGGACACTGGCACTCGATGCTCTTGCGCGGCACCAGCAGCATCATATTGCCTCTGCCCAACAAGGAGCTGGTCGTGCCCGACATGGGATTCCGCTTGAAGATGGTCTGGATGTTGATCTCGTACTTGTAGATCTCATTCTGCCGCTCTATCGAGAACTTCTCCGTGCTGATGTCCTGGGAGGCGCGATCGTGGCCAATTACCTTGGCCAAAATGGCTGCAAGTGAAGTGGAAGCGTTGAAATGCTATTACTATGAAGTGTTCACTGACTTGTAATGAATCACAAACCGACTCTTATTGAGGATCCATAACAAATTTATTTTTAATAAAGTAACTACAAGCCTTTGCTTACTTTAAACTTACATAGCAGTCTATGGCAGACAATCTAAGTATTTGTTTTAAGCAGAAATGCATACATTTTCTCAGCTTAGTTTAGCTTTTGGACGAGAATATAGATCCTTTTAGGTCTAATGTATTTTATGGGTGTATAGAATGTCGCAGCTTAAAACCCACAAACATAGGTAATTTAAAAGAAATTTTTTAATTACAAAATTCCATGCATCATGTAATCAGCTTAAAACAATATTCCTTAAACTAAAATTATTAAGTGTAGTTAAGTGTTATTCATAACTCACCATAGTCTTCCATGCAGAACTTGTTGAGGTTGAGCTTCTTGGGACTCGCCTTGCACTTGCCGCAGTCTATAAGAGAAGAGTAAGTACATTGTGCCGCGAACCTAGTGGCGTTTGTCTGTCAGTGTACTCACACTTCTTCATCTCCTCGACCTGCGAGCCACCGCCCTCCTTGTAATCGCCGGTGGCGCCTCCCCCGCCGCCCCCGGCACTCTCGGCCTGGATCATGTTCGCGTTGGTGGGCACTTCTGTTGATTGGGGTAAGGGATGGAGATGGAGATGGAGATGGGGATTAGTAACTGCCACGGCTTCTGGGGAACTTGCAACTTACTGATGCAGGGTGCCACGTGGGAGCGGGTCTGCTGGTAGCCCCTGGCACATCGGTTGCAGGTCAGTCCGGTGACGCCCTCCTTGCAAGGACACTGGCCACTCAGGTGGTTGCACGTCTTGCCCGTCGAACCCACCGGGTGGCAGTCGCAACCTGCGAATTGGAGGAGGGGGGTTAGAGAATCAGAAGCGGGCATGTCATCCTCATTAGAGCAACTCTCCACCCATCCATCTGTCCATCCTGCCCAGCTGTCTATCTGTCTGTCTGCCTGGCAGACAGCTTATGGGACCACTGATTGATGACAGCTTATTATCAATAAAACGGGCGTATTGCTGTCGCTGGGAATACCCTGGCAAGTCAGGCATTTCGATGGTGTCTAGTTGCCAGGCAATTCCCACAGCACAATTACTTAAGCACGAACGAGAACTTAAGAATTTGTTTGTATACACAAACAGTTTTTAGTGACTTTCATTTCTGAACTAAGACTGTAATAAAATGTAATAATAAGCATTCCTTTTAAGGACATTAATTACTAAGTTAGCTTTATAATATGATAACCGAAATAAGAATTGTTCTAGTTTATTCTGTTTGAAAAAGATTTTCATTTTAGATATTTGAAACCTTTTTAGCTTGTGTTTAATTAGCGATTGGATAGTGGGTTACCAATTTAGGTAAAATACTACAAATACTCTGAAAGGTTTAATGCCATGGTTGTTCCACGAAAGTAACCAAAACTCGCAAGTTGATTTTGTTGCAACATTTTTTGTGCACTACTTTCTTAAATCTTTGTCAGAGTTAAACGCGACTATTTTTTTAATATGATTATTTTCTCTTATATTGCTTTTTATTCAGGAATTGGAAAATACTTTGTTTACTTCTACTCTCTTGACTATCTTTTTTCTTTTGGCATATCACTCATGTGCAACTTAACGGAATACCCCATTAAATTTGGAGATACAAATATCAAATATCCAGCTGTAAGTGAAGATTGGAATACCCCTGCACTGGCAAACATGTAGTAATAAGTGGTCGCTACTCGCTTTTGTCTTTGAGAAAGCAGGACTTACGCTTGCAGACTTTGCGATGATTTGGCGGCTTGGTGGCATCCCGGTAGTATCCCTCGCGGCAGTAGTGGCAGTACCGCCCGGTCGTGTCGTGTTGGCAGTTGTAGCACACGCCCCCCGAAACACGGCCGGATAGCTTATACAACTCCAGGTTGAAGCGGCAGCGGCGGGCGTGTCCATTGCACTGGCACACTGGAAGAAAAGAGGGGAAATCCTTGGTTAGAGAGGGGAATCAGTAATAAAAAAAATTCCAGACCATAACTTGGTTATATGGGGGTGCAGAAAACAATTTTTTTAAGTATACATTTCTATTATTGTTGACCCAAAAAAATTAATATGAAAAAGCCAAACCACCGGAATTTTGTAAACGATATACATGGTTAACAATCACATTGCTTAAAAAACACACAGATGAAATACATTAAAATACATCAAAAGAGTTCTTTAGATCTATTTATTATTAATCCCAAAAAAGTTTTACCAATTAAAAGGCTTATAAGATTTTTATATGCCAACCACAGTTAAACTTTATCTTACCCCTGCAAGAGTAATCCTATAAGTTATAAATCCAAATGATTTATGATATATCTGTGTAATTCATTGAAATTTAAAAGCTATCGTCTGAAAAAATGCAATCATTATGAATTTTGATCTGGTTTATTCTCATTCCTTATTATACCTGTATTTTGTTTAAAACTCTTTTGACTGCGTAGTCAAAATCTTGATGTAACTTGGGTTTACTGATAAAAAACGTAAATAAGTGCAAGGATAATAAAGTCTCCTTTAAAGTTCCTATTTAAGCTTGCCCAGTTTCTGGCATAGCCGCATATTAACCCAATAAATAAGGACTATCACAAACAGTTTGCTCCATCGGCTTCCAATAGTTTCACCAAATTACGGTCAATGCCTAACGAGCTTAACCCGCTCCTATTTTGTTGTTATCAAGGATAACACCATCGGCTCCAAGGAGAGCTAATCATTTAATGGCAGTCCGGGTCTGGCATTAGCCTCCTTTTTTCCTTGGTTGATGGTAAATGGTGAATGGTGGGTGGATGGTTCCGTACATTTCATAAATAATTAATAATGATAGGAAACTGTTACGTGCTCCATTTTTCGGACAGGTGCGGGGGCAGCTGAGTTATCCCCTGATCCCCTGATCCCCTTATCCCCTTACCCCCTGCCTTGCTTATGATTGATTATTGTTGTTGTTATGGCTGCTGTGCTGTTCCCTTGATTGATGAAAAAACCTGCAAGGGTGCGAGAGTTGGGATCTTGTGGGATGTGATGGGTTTTGTTTGGGCGGAGGAGTTGTCTGGCTGGATGTCCACCTTTCAGTTCGTTTGTTTTTTATGCCATTATTTCTCGCTGCTCCTTATCGATTTTGCAGACTGACCGTCCACTTAGTCGACGTAAATGTTCATTTAATTAGTCGGAAAATATCATAAAATAATTTTAGCAACTAATTGGCAGCACTTGACTTCAATTTATGGTGTTTCTGGGAAGGAACTCTGAGGTTGCTGCTCCGTTCTCTGCAGTTCCTTTTGCTTATTTCCCCCCACTCTCCTTGGCCAAAGGCATTAAGGGTGATTTATACACAAACGCAGACACACACGTGTCCTCTTTGTACTTACACTACAGTTGCGGTCAGAATCTAAGCTTTAGGTATGTGTTTTTGCAATGTACAAACATTTTGTATTCCAAAAATAAAATGGTAGTTTTTTAGCGTGATGTTACAATAAAAATACTAAATATTGGACTAGAACAATATTTTAACCATTAGTCATATTGATATTTCAATGTAATGTTGATATTAAAAAACATCAAATTGATATTCTCGAAAAGATCGATCTGATTTTAATTTTAACTTTTGGAAACATCAATTAAAATGTGATATGGAAAATATTTATTTGCAATATAATTGTCTTATATTTTAGTCGCTAGACATCATTATTTTATAATGAGCTTTCAATGGCGAATATTGGGCCAAAATAAGTATTTAATATAATGTTTTTAGTGTAGTTCCTAACAGATTTTAAGAGACAATATGAGAGATCGACTTACTCCAAAGATCACAGATTATGAATTGCCCTATAACCTACTCATACAATTATTGTTATTGTTCATTTGTAATCTTACTGATGATAAATAAATTAGTAGGCATAAATGATTTAAATCTTGAATTTTTAGTGCTATTATTTTGCCCTCAACTGTTGTGGCACAAATGTATATATGGGGATTGTCCGCCGATGCCCACGCATGAGCGCCTGTGGGTGGGGAGAGGGTGGGGGGGGTTTGGTAAGGGGAGTTGGTGATTGCCTTTGGTGACTGGTGCGACTATTGTGATTGCTGTTGCCTCATATTTTTCATATCTTATGTCTGCATCATCGACGAGCGACGAACGACGAGAGTGGAAGGCTGAAGGCGGAATGCTGACAACAAAGGAGCTGCCTGCGAGGAGGCGGTGGGCGTGGCAGGAAGACAACGCGGATGGCCGTTCGCTTATTTGGCAAATAATAATAACAACAACAATGGACCCAGAGTGCCAGACCGACTGGATCTCAAACTGGAGCTCCGATGGCCGGAATACTTATCGAAGGACCTTATCCCTGCAGCAGGCACACATGTCGCATGTGCCCCCCCTTTTCCCTCTTAACCATCCATCCAATATTGTCATCATCATCGCTCCTGTTCTCGTGGTCGCTGCACAATTTTAAATGGGTTTTATTCCCGCTCGTCACTCTACTTCTCCGGGGTCAAGGCCACGATGTTGGTAAAAGGGGTCGAGCATTGCAGCTTAAGTTCTTTTCAAATGGATCTGGTTTCCTTGGTTCTCAGAATTATTTAGTAACAAGTCCTATATCGATCAAGTATTACATAAAGATTTAAGTCTTAATTCATGACAGTTTTGTCTTTTGTTATGATTTACGAAATAAATTACTTTAACTTAATTCTAATTCTTAATTATTGCTTGGGAAACAAAAATAATGTGAAATACAAATAAATAATCATAAGTATGCATTAGACTTGCAGAGTGGTTTATCTTAAAGAAGTTAAAGAAGTTACTATCCCTGATTTTAGTATAATTTTGTATTGCATTTTGAATTAAAATGCTTCCAAAATAGATGGAATTTTAACAACGCGTGAAATTTAAATGACCAATATATGTAGAATACAGAATACAAGTTAAGTAAGAGCATTTCCAGTGCAATGTCCTTCGACTTGCAAAGTTCCTCGGTGAAAGTCAGGATTATTATTATTTCATCTTCGTCTCGGTTCCCATTGTCACTTCTCCCGCGTCAATATGAATCTTATTAAGAGCTTTTCCTCCTCCCCGGCTCTCCCATATCGCTTCCAATGATAATAACAATGATAATGTCCGCCAGTTGGAGTCCACTTAAATCCCAATTCCCCAATCCCTATCCAAATGGCCTTCGGGTACGCTTCCCATTGTCGTATTGCCATTGACACGCATTGTAATTGAGTTGATATTGCGGAACGATAAGCCACATTCAACGAGACGGCGATGAAAAGCGGACCGCGAAAATTCCACTGAGGTGGTGGGGGGTTGGGGGGGATGTGGGGTTGAGCGCCCCCGCATAAATTCCATTGGCAGACAATTAGAAAGAACAAAAAAAGAAAACCCCAATGGCAACAAAAATTCGAAGCCCCCGCCGATTAGCCAAAGTAGCACATAAATTTTCGGTGGCCACGGGCTTTGGAAAATCTCTGTGTGATTTTGGAGGGTGGGGGTTGGGAGGGGGGTTTTGGATTTACTCAAGCATGACCAATGGAACGGAACGTATGCAGCCGATTGGCTTAATTGGGTAACAATAAAACGCATTTTTACGCGAATTTCCTTCACAGTTCATTTGCTGCGGCCCCATTACGTGTGCTCTCTGTTTTCTTTTTTTTTTTGGGCTGTTTTCCGGCTGCCAAACGATTCTTCGGCAGAACTTCAATTACTGGGCCAGGCGGCCAGCGAAATTTGCACATCTTGGCAAAGAATGCCGTTTTTTGATATACGGGCCAGGCCAGGTCGAGGCAAAGACCCAGACCCATCGGTGGAAAGAAAATTTGCAGGCGGTCGAGAAAAGAAAAGTTCATAATTTAGCTGCAATTTTAATTAAAAGCCAAACACTCCAGGGATGTGTGGTGGGGGAGAGGAGAGGGAGGGGGGAATGCGACAGGGAAAACGAAAAGTGGTAAAACACATGCTAGCCAACAAAAGTGCGAAAACAGCAACGTGCTCACAGATAAAGGAAAATAAAGGAAAACATGTGAAAATCATTTTGCACCCAGTACTCTTTATGGGGGGGGCATGATGGTATGGGGTATGGGGTATATGGGGTATGGTATGATGAGGCCCGGCGCCGACAGATAAGCCGGGACCGGACTGGTCCAGGCCCCGTTCATAAGTCCACAGAGTCTGAGAGTTATGTGCCCGTTTGTTGTAAAACGGCACAAAAATTATGGGCGAAAACCAAACAGGCCTCTCAACCAACAGATGTGTGTGTGTGTGTGTGTGTGTGTGTGTGTGTGTGTGTGTGTGTGTCTGGAGGGGAGGGGGGCGACAGTCATACCATGCCTTACCATCTATAAACTGGCTACAAAATGTCTAAATTTTTTTCGTACGATTGTATGCTGCGAAAAGAGAAAAAGTGGGAGGTGCAGCAGCAGAAAGCCAAAAAAAAGAAAGAAAACGCAATATTCAAACCCAAGAGGAACAGAATCGAAAGACAGACTGAGGGGAAGTAACACGATATGATATGATCTTGAGTACTTGAATCCAAACATTCGAGCTGCAAGAGGCGCCAGACTGTATCTGCTGAAGACTGCAGGAATAGCGATTCTCCGGGGAACAATGTTGCCAAAAGTGAGCGAATGGAAACGAGGAGACAAGCACGTTCCCATAAATCATAAAAAGATATACGAATGCGCCTCGCAAGGGTCAGAAATAGTCGGCTTCAGATAGTGCAGATAGTGAATTGCAGTAATAAAACACATAATGAACCTTAATGGTGAGAAAAACTGTTAACACCACGCTTAGTCATCAGAAGCTCTCAACATTATGAGTCAAGTTCACTGACCCCATGGAGTAAGTTTCACTTAAGAATTCTATTGAAATACCTACTATGTAATTAGGCATTTAACTTGGTACTCCAGACCTACAAAAATAAGTCTGGGATTAATTA